TATGAAGCAAAGTTGTTCAAAATGTCAAGCTTAATCTAATGGAGTCGTCAAAATACGTCCGTCGACGTCATTTCCGGCCAAACCGGAAGTAGTCGAAAAACGCGTATTTTTACCGTTCTTGAAAAGTTTTTGGGTAACATCTGTCACTGGGAGCATAAAAATTAATTTAATGTCCGTCGTCAACACTTCCGGTCACACGGGAAGTAGCATAATGACGAAATTTTTTGAAATTTAAAATATAGTCATGCATTAGGATATCCTACAAAATGATATAAAAAAATTCATTAAATTACGGACATGCACGTGTGCTGCAATCTGATTAGCTGAAACTTTAAATGGCTATAACTCCCTTGTTTTTCAACCAAACAGGATAGGATTTAGAACATAGATAGATGTAAGTGACTCCTACAAGAAGGTATGATCATCATGCACGTGCACGCACGTGCGTGCATTTGAAACGAGTATATTTAAAAATACTCTTGAATGAGTGATTTTTATTACTTTTGGACTGAATGCTTTAATATATAGTATATTAAAATATATAAATAGTGTAGACAAGATGATATGGTCATAACGCACATGCATTCACATGCGCTTGGGTGCAATGCTAAAAATTGAATATAATTGGTATCCTTCTGGGAAAGCGTTGTAAAAGTCAAAAATGCACAGAGTTTGTCTTATTTAATGAAGCTTACAGGGAACATGGCACCAAAAGGGAGTTGGGGAGCGTTTGGGGAACATCTGTAACGGTTCCCGTTACAATTAGCACTAGTTATTATTATTATTATTCTTTTTTCTTCTTATTTCTTCTCCGGTACTTTTTTGTCCGGAAGTGTTCTCAGAAACTGTTCACCAAACTAAGTTAAAACCTTTTTAGGGTTAGTAGGCATGTTGTGTAGATGTGCCGAACGAAGGTCATTTTGCGCGCATTCGCATGCACGTGCGGGCGCGTGCAATGAGTAAACTGACTGATATATTTAATATGGTTGTAACTTTTATATTTTTTGATAAAATGTTTTGAAACTCATTATATAAAGACATATACGTTGTGTAGATAAGATGACATGGTCAAATTTGCATGAACTCACGCGCATGCACGTGCGCTTTGCTCTGATTGGCTGAAACAGAAATCTTAATATCTTTTTTGTTTTATGATGAAATGCTTTGAAACTTATATCATAGACATGTATTAGGATGTACTACAATATAATATGTAAAATTTTTCATGAAATCACGCGCATGCACGTGCGCTGCAATCTGATTGGTTGAAATTTTAAATGACTATAACTCCCTTGATTTTCAACCAAACAGCATGGGATTTAGAACATAGATAGACATAAAGGACTCCTACAAGATGGTATGGTCACCATTCAAATGCATGCACGTGCGTGCACGTGCGCTTTGCTCTGATAGGCTGAAACAAAAATCTCAATATCTTTTCTGTTTTTTTTACAAAATGTTTTGAAATTTAAAACATAGGCATACTTTAAGATGTCCTACAATATGATATATAATAATTGTCATGGAAACATGCGCATGCACGTGCGCTGCAATCTGATTGGCTTAAACTTTAAATGGCTATAACTCCCTTGTTTTTCAACCAAACAGGATGGGATTAAGAACATAGACAGACATAGTAGACTCCTACAAGAAGGTATGGTCATCATGCACGTGCGTGCACGTGCATATGAGTAAAATAGTGTAGACAAGATGATATCGTCATTACGCTCATGCAATCACATGCGCACGCCTGCATTACTTAAATTTGAAATACTTGGTTTACTTTTGGGAAAACATTGTTGCCGTCTTAAATGCATAGATTTTGCCTTCTTTAATGAAACTTACAGGGAATATGGCACGAGAAGGGAGTTGGGGAGCGTTTGGGGAACATCTGTAACGGTTCCCGTTACAATTAGCACTAGTTTTCTTTAAAATTGTGAAAAGGGGAGGGTGTGTATTACATATAACCCACACTTGCTAATGAACATCAATTTTTAAAAAAAAGAATTATAATGCATAAATTTATGCATTATAATTCAAAAATAATAAAACAATTTTTTTCTTCAAAAATTGTGAAAAAGATAACTTTAAATATCACCCCTACTAATGTGTTCGGAACCTTTTATTTTTCGGTGTTCTGCAAAATATAAAACCCGATGAGTTCAGAGTAGCTCTGGTAGTGTCTCTGGCGAGAGTTAGCGAGACTTCAGCGAGATAGGGTAAATTATTCACGGAAATGTGGCTAGGAAGTGACTAGCACGTGGAGGCATGGTAAACAGAAAAGTTATGTTGCGTTTCAGTTTTCACCACCCTAGAATCAGCTGATAATGTCTGTAGAAATGTACTTCAATCAATCCCTCTTACATTCATTCAAACTTAAATAACTATTCTCTATGATACAATTTTCTGCAGTCATGAATTAAAATTTCTTTTTGGACAAATATTTTTGCATGGGAACCGGGACTATATTTTTTTGGCGTCAGATTAGCAAATGAGGCACCAGCATGATTTTACCTGACCAATCAGCTGAATGAGTATTGCATTATGGGTTACTACGAATACTACAGGAATTTTAAGCTTGAAAAAAAGGAAAACCTTATGGTAAATGAAAAGCATTTTTAAAAATATTATTTTCATGCTCATAATGACAAATAATTCATTTGTTAAATAAACGGCGGAAGTCTAGGTTTCTGAAAGTCATACTCCAAAAGCGATTTTCGTCTGTATTTATTTCTTTGTTGTACTATCGGTGAATACAAGGTGAATTCCCTGGCCGAACACGTGATCAAGAACGAAAACAAAGTTTTGTCCATTTAAATGCATGAGATGCTGCTCGTCTTCCTTACCCTTGAAGCACTAGTGTTCCGAACTAGACGCAAACTACATTTTATTAAACATTTTTTTCCATTTAACAACAACTTAAAAACGCCCGTAACACCTTTCATTTTGTATTTTGTTCGTAAGAACATTTTTTATTAATTTTCTGTCCATTAACATGATCGTAGATTGACCTGAACTAAGTGTTCGAAGTAAAATGTAAACATGTATTTGGCGTAAACGTTGCTATTCATATATATTCAACGATTGGTCAGTTCCTCGTGGTAAGATCCTCTGTGCGCATTTATACCAATAGCCATATAAGGCAAACAAAGGTTTGTCAGTGTAGATGATTATGCACATTTTTTACCAGCGAATCAGTCACTCTGTAATTTTCGCCGAAAAGTATATAAGATATATTGTTATTTTAACACACCCCCCTGTAGCCACCCTTTTTCTGTCGAAAATCATGAAAGTCTTTCAGGAAGGTCTGGAAACATTTATTACAGGACACGTTTTCAAAAGAAACAGGCTATAGCAATATCATGTTTACTGCCAAATTTATCTATAAAACCAGTTCTACCCTATAACCTTTGAATAGATCAACCGAAACCAAGTGTCTTGAATTTAAATCACAACAACATTAGTAGGGTTGAATATAAAAATAAGTAAATCAAATAGAACTGTAAAAGTTTGATAAACATTTTTTATTCAAAATATCTCAATAATGTCCTAAAAATGACAAAAACAAATTATGAAGGGTAAAACAATACTAATATTTAAAAACCATCTTATATTGAACATCACAGGAGTTTTACAATTCTTAATATTTTAGAGTTTTTATTCATTTATCATCTACAACTAAAATTTGTAGATAAAACAAATATCAATTTAATACATGCGTCCATTTTTTAAAAATTGTAACTGTTACGGGTTTCCTTTAATTTTGAAAGGAAATGAAAATACTTCTTTAAATTATTGAACATCAGATGGTCATTTATCAGCATTTCCGGTAAAATTTGATATACTAGTATCCATAAACACTAAAATATTCATAAGTTTCTCATAGCTACGGAAACTCGTTGTACAAACTATTTAACAGCAATGATTAAAGGGCCCTATAGCAGTTTTTCTTTTATTTTTATTTTTTATTTTTTTTGATAAATTTAAATGCAATATTGCGTTGTATTTGATAGCAAAATTAAAACAACATAAGATTGAAAGGTAACGTTCAATCTGATTCCAAATCTACATTAATGTTTGGTGTTTGATTAAACTCGTTGAACAAGGGATTTTCCGTTCCCTCCCTTGTGTTGTTTACATCATCCACAGGTTCATCCACAAACCTATTTTCTGGTGCCGTGACACCAGGATTCTTTTCATTTATCTCCCCGGCTTTTCCCTCCACATTTGTAACGTCACTGCTCTCTTCCCTCTCCTTCCTCTTTGTGCTGACACGATATTTCTTGTTTTTCTGGGGCTTAGATCGCTTCAGGCGCACCACCAGAACGACAACAAGAATAATTATCACCACCCCAAGACATGGCACCACCACAGCAACCACAGGGAAATCGGAGGAAGAAGGAGTTAATCCTCCATTAACTCTTACTTTGAAAGTGATTTGTAGCTTCGCTGACACATGCATACTAATTGTAGAGTTCTCAGAACTCAAGGCCTGCGTTTGAAAGTAAAAAATTAAGAAAAGCAGTAGATCATAGAAGTGAAAAAAAGTGATTTATGAAATATATATTTATTATGTACACTTATCAATCCAAGAATATCGACACTGAAGTATGGCACGGTGAACTTGAGTGTTTTCATGAAAAGAGAAGATCTTGTACACACATGTATTGCACTAGAACACTATATAAAAATACATTGTAAAAAAAATCCTCCATGTTTCTTTTGCTTTTACGCTTCACCATTCTATGATCAAACCTTCACCGCACACAAAATGAGAAAAAGCAACACAGCTAGTGGCCCGCTTTCACATGATAGCAAACTAAATCTCTACACATACTGATGTAGCTATGTGAAAATTCCCACAAGTTTGTTAGCTTTTAAAACAAAAGTTATTAAATATTATCAACATTCAGCATTTTCGTCACTTTGAAAACGCTATACACATTACACTGATATGTTAATTGTATTGCAATATTAATATATACTTGGATTTCTAAGTTTATGTAGTAATCAAATAGTCTTAAAAAGCACCTTGAACAAAATTATACATAATATTGTAAAATGAGACTCTTGAGTAACAAAATGACAACATATAATGACAATGTAATGTTAGACATGTTAGATCTTTCTGCCATTTTAAGACACCCTGCATCAGACGCCCTCCTTTTCGTCTTTGAAGGCATGGTTGTCCATCTCAGTAGACGTCTCGTCGTGGCCAGTATCCCCGTTCACATTCTTCTCCCCGAGGTTGTATTTCTGTTGCGGCTGTGACTTCCTCATCTTAATAATGACCACGATCAAAATAATAAGAATCAGAGCTGCCACAATAGGCAGGACGATTATCAGCACCTTATTGTCGGTACTTTTGTCTGGGTTGGCTTTTTCTATGGGTGCTGGGGTTGTGGGGGCGGGGGTTGTCGTGGGTCGAGCTGTGGAAGGCGTTCTAGTGGTTGGTGTTGAAGGTGAGATGGTAGTAGGTGATGACGTCGGTTGTGACGTCACTTCCTCTGTGGTGGTTGGTTGAGTGGTTTGGGGTTCTGTCGTTTGTTCGGGAGTCGTGGGTGGGGGTACCGTCACATTTACGGTTAAAGTGAAATTGTCTGATTTCTGTCCATTATCTCCCATAGCCTGAAACGCATGCGTTATGAAATGAGTTGCAAATACTGCAAATGGTAAATAAGCTTTTATCTTAACTAGGTTCCAGCCCAACTATTTAACTATTTGTAATCTAAATTAGCCAATACCAAAAGAAACGCCACAGAACCAAAAATTAAAAAGAACAAACCTGCAGAACTACCACCACACTGAAGTCTGAAGATTCACCGAAGTTGGAGAAGTTTGCAAACGACTGATTGAGAATGAAACTACCATTTTCAAACTCAATATTGTCTTTGTATTTTTCAGGGTAAACTGCAAATTTAAAATTTCAGGTAAAAATAAGCAGACATTTTTTTTCTATATAAAACTATATATTTGTATCTGATCATGAAATTTGACGATAAAGAGCAGTGATCATTATGGAGATCTCAATAAACAATACAAATTGTGAACAGAATCATCAATAACATTTAAAATACTGTCACATCTTGAACAGATTTAATACATGTTTTATGAATTTTAAAAAAACCTGTATAGTTAACATTTTACCGTCTAAACTGTACGTAATATTTGTTTGGCTGTCGGGATCCACAGCTTTTATGCTGCTAGGTTCAGTTTTTACGATTCCCTACAAAATATCAAGATATCTTTCTTTGTAAGTTGTACTTGAAAAAGTGACACTATCTTAACATTAAAATTTTTAAATTATTAATCTTTAAAAAAATATGTGTTCTTTTCTTGTAGGTTCCACGAATACCTGATCAAAATAATTGATGGTAACAGACAAATCTGGAACTGCACAAGAATAACATGTTGTAGAGCAGCCATATCTGACAAACACAGGAGGAGTGTCATCCACGTCAACAAAATTAACAGTCAGGATTGTAGTCACGGTATGTGGACCGTCCTGAAAAAAATAACATGCATATTTCTAAAATCTTAGTTAAAAATTTTAAGTACAAGCAGGGTTTTTTGAGGTCTTGAAATCAAGGGCCTGGGCCTTTCCATTTGGGAAAAATAGCGACATTTTTTTGAAATTGGGAAAAAATATATTTATTTAATTTTTTTTTGTGAATAAATTCAAATAAAAGGGTTTGTTTTTCATTTGCAAGGTATTTACAAATGTATTGACTTATTTTACATTCAGTCAATCGGTTTTTGGAGCATGCATGCCTATTAGATGTTTTTAACAGCACAAACAAAACCATATTTGTTCAAATCGATTCTCTTTGGGGAATTTTCTTTGATGAAATTGGGAAACACACACTTTTTAGCATTGGGAATGGGGCCTACTACTGAACAAGTATCCTCATCTCTTTCGTTTCATTTTACGTAAATGTGGTTGTAGAGTAATCCTGAAGTTTCTTCTTCAATGCTGTTAATACATCAGTAAAGAATAAAAAGAAAGGTGTGGTAGAACAATAACTGGAAGCTGATATAGATATGAGTTTTATATAGTTAAGGAATCTATTATATAGGTATAGCATTTTTTTTTTTAAATGAACATTTTCAAAAATGAAAACTTTTCCTGATTTTCAATTATTTTCGCAATGTTAGGTGTTCTTGAAATCAACTTAAGGTTCTTGTTGAAATTTTTTTTTAAAACAACAGAGAAGGGACCTTAGAATTTTTATAAAGTGAATGTAAATCATTCATCTTTGGTATTTTTGTGTTACTCGTGATGCTCTATGATGATTTTTTTTTAGAATATCTAAGAGGAGTCTGTAAAATCGTGAACAACGCATTTCTCTTAGAAATTTATTTTCGTATTAAATAAGCTGAAACTTTCAATAAATGTTTACTGTTAGGCCATTATTAACACAATGAATTGTCTACGGATTTTTTTTCGTTTGCCTAGTCGACATGACAAGAAACGTACGAGGGTGTGACCAGTCGACATGGGATGCTTACTGCTTCAAGGCACCAGATCCAACATCTGATGTTTTAGTACTCCATGATCTTCAAAAAAGGAAAAGTTTCTGACAATTCAGTGTGTAAATAATGTCCCAACGATTGAAAAACGCCAGTAAGCATTTTTCTTTATGGTAGCTGAAAAATCATCGAATTTGCCAAAAGTGTATTGACATTCATTACAGGAGATTTATATATATATATATAGAAGACCCACTATACCTTTAAAGTACACTTTTATGACGCAACATTCGCATCTTTCCGAGAAATACTTTAAGTCCATTAAGTCGCGGGTCATATCACAAACATGATTTAAATGCCCAAAATCACCATAAGTAGTGTAGCATAGTGGTTAACGCGTCAGTCTCAAAGCAGTTTGCTATTAATACTTCGGATTTTTATTGCTTAGGGTTCGAATCACACGAATACCATCTAATAATTTTATGAAAGAAAAATTTTTTTACGAGATTTTTTTTTCCCTCTCAGAAAAGTTTTTTTTTTCTCATAATTTCAAAAATATCAATAATTTGATGTTAATCTATATTTGATTTCTTAATATCTGACGCTATAGGCATTCTGCCAGCCTTGTTCCCCATCTTCTTTATATTATGTTATCATACATATCAAATTTCAACAGTTTGATGCTTTTTTTCCTTTTTAGTTTTGTGTCTTACCTTTGCAGTTATATTTAATATTCCTCCTGTTTGTCCCAGACCACACTGGAATTTGGTCTCTTCGTAATCAAAGTTCTTTGTTTGATATAAAAAACCTGTAGCATTGTTAACCGTGAAATAATCTCTGGCATCATTCTAAAAAAGATAATTTTTCAATAATCTCATTCTTTTCCCTCAAATTTTATGCAGTCGAAATACTTTTTTGAAATTTTCATTTCTGAGATATCGACATTTTTTACCACAGTTTATCACTTCATTTATTCTATTTCCTATAGTAATGTATATGGATATATTGATTATATTTGAAATACAGAACCAATAACAAAATTTTCTTTGCTCCCTAAATTTGGTAAAGGAAGGGATATATATATATATATATATATATATATATATATATATATATATATATATATATATATATATATATATATATATATATATATATATATATTGTATATATATTTTGCAAGCATTATTTTAAGGAAATAAATGGACTAAACGAACAGTATTCAAGATCAAAAGTCCATGAAACAATGTAGATTAGGAGCAAACACGGACCCCCAAAACATCAGAGGTGGAATAAGGTGCCTTTGTGGAATGAGCATTCCCTGCCGATCGGTTACACCCGCCGTGTGCTCCTTGTCATGATCGGGAAATAATGGAAAAATCCGTCATCAAATAATTATAAAATAATGGACTAACAATTAGTATGAATTAGTCAGCATTTGACTCAATGCTAAATTGTATTTGCTGACCAGGTCATTGTATCGACCACAGAACGTACGAAATGATGACTTTAAACGAGACTGCTGATATTCTTGTTTCATCAACTTGTTTGTCAATAATTTGCCTCGTCTTTGAAACTGTTCATACGTAAAGCATATTCTTGCGTATCGAATCAACTGCATAAGTAAGGGAAGTTGACAATAGAAAAGTTAAAATCATCACGTTTATCATAGTGCTTGGTTGTTAGTTTAGTATTAACGTCTTTTTCAAGTAAAGTGTCTAAATATGAAACAGATATGTCAGACTATATGGTTTATTATCATAATTTTACATTTTACAGATATTAAATCTGCAGATTTGTGAAATATACAAATTCACACATATGTGGAATTTTGTTTCATTATCAAAAGTCTTTGAAATAAATTATATAGATTTGAAATTTCTACATATGTGTGCTCTTAGTTTACGGTCTTGGGTCTTGATCAAGTGGTTGTTTGTATGTATTTATTAAACCACTTTACAATGGCGGATTTAAGGGAGGGGGGCGTGGGGGGTGCACACACCCCTAAAATTGTCATAGTATGATATGAATGATATTAATAATGCCATACTTTGGTACAATACCACGATACTGAGTATTTGTTCCTAGTTATACTCTTGATATACACGAAAACCCAGGAGCTTCCGAGGGGATTCGCCCCCTGGAACCCCCTTCATTCAAAGTATGATATGACTAGCATTAATTATGTCATACTTTGGTACATACCTAACCAACACCACTATTATTGTGCCTGGTTTTACTCTTAACATACACGAAAACCAAAAGCTTCCGAGGGCTTCGCCCCCTGGGTCCCCACAAAGGCTTCGCCCTGGAACCACAGGGGTGCTTAATGCGACCCCAGGCCCCTTGCCTGAACGAGGTTATCCACGCCCCCCTAATCACAAATCCTGTATCTGCCCATGCTTTATATAAATAAAACAAGAAAAAGATTTTGTCATACTCCTACAAATAGCTAGATTTTTTTATGCCTATACAAAGTCAAAAAAGTAATATTTTTGCATTGATGTATTACTTTTATCTATGAGTCAGTCCAACATAAATTTTAGATCGCAACGTCACTGCTACTAAAAAATATGGAGATAACGAATAGTTTTCCAGCTCAAAAGTTAATGGAAACTACAAATCTGAAGCAGAACAAACAAGGACCTTTAAAAATATCAGAAGGGGATATTGGAGGCCCCAGGGGAGAAACCCCAAAAATTTCTCTCAAACCTAAACATAACTTTTCATTTTGCCGAATCTGCGTTAAACAAAATCAATTAATTAATCTTACCTCCCCAGCAGCCTTTGAAATGCTTATGACAGGGTTTTCCTTCGGACAATCTCTATCTTCAAACGAATCAAACATACGCCTTATAAATATTTGGGAAAGATGATCTCCCTAAAAATAACAAATTTCTTGAAAATTGTATAAAAACAAATGTGCACATAAGTTTTTAAAGTACCCGAATATTTAATTTCAAATGAACAAACCTCATTTATATGAACTGGTTCACGATTGACTGCACTTGGGGAGTATTCGTTTACTGGATTGACTTTGAACGTTAGATCTCCGTCTTTCTATTTACAGATTTGGATTCATGAAAAAGATGTAATCATAATTCTTAGAAAGATTCCTTGCCATGAAAATGAAGTTATAAAATTGAACTAATGTGCATTCTTACTGGTGAGCCATCGGGTCCTGTACACGACACTCTTTGTATAAATTGATACTCAGCAAGAGAACAGGGCTACAAATTAAGATTATAACACTTGAATTTTAATGCTATAATATGCACGTATATTTCGTACCCTTACCAAAAAGCTGAAACTATAGCGCATTTAATTTCCATGGGATCTTAAACAGATTGTTGGAAGACTGTTCTTTAATTCTAAATACTTTCAAAAAGAAACTATCTCAACTTTTTAATGTTAAGTTTGGTGTACTTTAGTACTTGTATCTTGATATATTTTTAACAAAATAATTTTGTAAATTACTGAAAAGTTAAGTAAATAAATGAGGTTTTTCTCTTGAAAAAAAGTTATCTATTATATCAGGAATTGGGGACTTTAATAATGTTGAGGTATGGGTAAATTGCTTCACACACTTTTCAAACCCACATGATTTTTCGCACAAATTAAACTAACATTGTTATAATGCGATATTGTGAGTCAACAAAATATATTTCAAAGTGATTGTTTATCAGCAATATTTGGTAGGACTTGAATATACTCCTGGCTTACACATTTGGACGATTCCCAAATTGTTTTGTGCCTATTTAAGCCGTCTTTATATCTGTTCATTGAAAGCATTTACCTAAAAAATATTTAAAGATCCCAATTCTTCATTTTACTCTTTCTTATAATTTTTAAAGAATTAACCTTCCTCATAATTTTGGATATATACCATCTTTAGCGGTACAATACTTTTCTTCAACTCTCGCAATCTATTGTGTTTCCTGCAATGCTAATGTTGAAAAAATTACAATGTTTGAAACCCTTTTAAAGATTTTTCTGTCAATGGAAACATTTTACTTTTTAAAAATAAAATTGGCATGGTTTGTATCCGCGGCGATTGAGTTTTATTTTGAAACTATATTTCGATCGTTTCCGTTATCTTAACTTTTTAATTATATCAATTAATGTATCTCAATATGGTCAAATAAATTAAATAAGTATAATGGATTCATGAAAAAGTTTGAATTTCCTTTGCCCTGACCGGTCAGCAGGGGATGCTCACTCCTCCATGGCACCTGATCCCACCTCTGATGTTTTGGAGGTCTGTGTTTCCTCTGCTCCTATTTGGTATTGTTTGATGGATTTTTGAGCTCGAATACTGTTTGTCATCTCCATAAATTTCATTTCATCACAGACACTGATTTAGGTCAACTTACACAAAATTTATACTATATTGCAAACTTTAAATGGTCAACAAAAGCCTTTTATGCATGTAAGAAGTAGCCAATTGTCCACAAATCGCTTTACAAAACTATAAAATTATACGATAAATCAAATGTTTCTTATTGTGAGCATGGACATTGCAGATTCCTTTGTTTGAAATACAAATACGATTGTCTTTAGGAACGCAAGTAAAAGAATGCCCCTTTTTCAAGCATTTCATTTCATAGTTTTATTGTAGTACACAATCGTTTGATATGGTTTAGCTTATTGGTAGCTGCAATAATGTAGCCCTCTCCGATTTTTTTTTTATCTGATATCCCCCCCCCCCCATTAAAAAGGGGGAGAGGGCTACATTATTGCCACTAAATATATCCGAATTGTTAGCAGACGAATAGTTTCTGGATATTTAACTCTAGAAATAGTTAACTAAAACAATTGAAATATCATAGATTGATAAAATAGATTGTTTGGATTATTATTAATAGGTTGTTTATCCTAGTTTATTGAGAAAAGTACTGTCTTTAGAAATTTACATTTTACAGATGACGTAGTCACTGCAGCACTGCATCACGATATACTATAAATGTATTATATCTAGCGTGTACGATAATGGGCGGAAATTGATTTTTGAATAAGTTAGCGTAAATTTGATTTGGCACATTTTTCATATTCTTATCTATGTGTTTACGTGCAAGACATTTAGCTGCATACAAATGTACTTGATTTAGCGGTTGCTGCGATCCGCTAAAGCTTCTAAAAAGAACACACAGCCAAATGTAATACGTTTACAGTAAAAGCAGAAAACTTCAAGGGGTCTTGTCAGATCTTCTCCAGAAAAATAAGAGATGGACATCAAGAGTCGGTGTCAGTCGGTGCCAGGCAAGAATAAGGTAAATTAAAATTTTATATGGGTTAGAAATTAGTTTTGAAACTTCTTATTCTATTTAGAAATTATAGCAAAATGTAAATTCTTTAGATGATATTTGAGAATATTGAATATACTTGGTGCGAGATTTTGAACCAAAGTTTGTTTCTTAAATTATTAGAATGCATTTTAGTATTATAATATTGACTGTGTAAGCTTGCAATTTTGAATTTAGAATAACCAATTCCATTTGATTAGATTTAGCTTCATTGGCACCGATACCGAGTACTGGGTAGCACCGTGCACTTGGTTGCACCGAGTTGTACCGAGCACAGATTAGTTTGTTTGACTATTTTAAGTTGCATAGGTTATAATTATCAATGGAGTTTTAGCACAAGAATTCTCCTATCTAAGCATGACATGCTAGCATAGGATGGGGGTGGACTTTTATTAAGAAGTAGAAATTTTGGATTTCAGATAGAGTTCTGATTACAGTATCAGAGTCCCTGATTGTGCCTGTATAGTTATTCATAGTAGTAGCAGCAGATAGCACCAAACATCTTGAAGCTCCGGAAACAACAAAGTAGAACAGAACACCTAGTAGCACCGGCAACCTTATTGGCTTGTAGCACCGGAAACCGAGTAGCACCGAACTCCCAGTAACACTGAGCTCCGTGAAAGTTCGTCCGTATACTTACTATTAAAGAAACATTTTAAATATTTATTGAAATTTATTTATTGTCTTTCATGCTTTGGTGCTATAATAAACATATGTATTAACTGTTTTTAAATACTTCTTTTCTTTTTCAAAACTAGATACTTTCGAACCTAGTTATTGTAACATCCCTCATAGGTACCAGGTCGACGTAAATATTACACGTTACAATTGGTAGCAGCATTTTTAAAAAAAATTATATTAATATCAATACTTATGAAACCCGAAACGTTCATAATCTTGAATGCCAGATATAGATTTTACTCAAATAGTAAAATGCTTTCTTTGGTTGTAGTACGGTTTTAATGTCGCAGCTATTGCAGGAAAAAAAATAAACCACATAATCGGGTTATGCAATTTTCTTCTGCAATAGCTGCGACGGTGATTCCCATACTAAAAACAAAAGAAAGCACTTTATTGTTTATATTTACATCTGTATTAAAAATCATTCTGAGTAAGTTTAAATTGCTTAAATATTGTATTTAAGATGAATATGTCATTGGGTGCATAACTGATAGAACAGCCATTGTTCGAGAAATCTACACACGTGGGTTGCATAGTGTTGCAAAAGAAACAAAGAAAAAAATATTCAGTGGATGTAAATACATTGAATGTTTTTAACACATTTGAATGACATATGAGTAACGAACAGTATTCAAGTTCAAACGTCCATTAAACAATACAAATCAGTGATTTCCAAACATCAGATTTGGGATCAGATGCCATGGAAGAATGAGCGTCCCCTGCCGATCGGCCACAATTACCTCCGTGTGCTTGTTGTCATGATCGGGAAAAACGGAAAATTCCATTGACAATTCAGTGTGCATACAATTGCTTAACAATAAGTATAAAAAACATCAGTCAACATTTGACTTAATGATGAATTGTACTTGCTGAAGGATAGTTAGTTTTCATTTTGCCCCTCAATTACTCCGTCTCTTTCTGCGCTACAACTGTCTTGTCTGTTTTAGCTAAATAATGTAGCTGTGTATTTGTATAGGATCGTCGGAAGAGACAAAAATTTTATTTGCATATTTATAATATCGGAATACCGTTATTAATATTGGAAAAGATACGTGGTTTTTATTTGCACAGTTTTACAACATTCATAGAAATATCGCGCTCACTATAGAACATGCCCGCGAACTTGTCTAACAAATCCCGTATGTTAACTCAATTTATCCCGGTTAATTTGAAAAAAAAACATCAAATGGTTTGCCACAACTGTTTCAAATTTGGATGTTTGATTGACTATAGACGAGCAAACTATAACAAATAAATTGAATGACAATCTATATAATTATACAAGTTACTTTTCATCGCCAACTTGACTTATTCATCTAGTACCTGTATATGTTGTTCTCGTCTCAAAACTTTTTCGATATTCAAGAGCATGTTCTGCGTTCGATCAATTTTTATAGCAAGGCAAGCTGACTACTATAGTCAACCCTTTAACCCTTCCCTATGTCACTGATGATGTGAGAACATTGTTTTCATGTAGATAAAGTTATGCATTGCTTTAAAAGTGTTATATTATAGAAAACATTAGCAAATATGACATAACTTTAACACCATAAATTGAAATACATCTTTCTTACATTTACATCCAGATCTCTGCTTTGTTGCAGTAATACAGAGTACGTCTGGTTTTTAAATTCCATTGAAACCTGTGGATTGGTATCACTTAAGTTCCATTTCTGTGTTGTAGAATTTGTCTGATCTCCAATGAATAGGATAGAACCTTGAATGAAAAAGAAAAAAAAATCATGCAAAAGCCAGAACAATTACTTGTATCACTTTCAGGTAAATAAAATCAAATTACCTGGTGAAGAAGTTTCATCGAAGGAAATTTCCGGTGGCAACGGAATGGACTGACAGTGGTTTTCTAGTTAAAAAATATATACATTTTAGGAACATCTTAAAATTGAAAGTTTGGTACAAAGAAAATCACGTTTAACCGGAAGGAAGATATGTCGTGAAAAGTCCCGTGGGGATCCGGGTAGAATAGGTCCTCAGAACCACTTGCTTGTCGTAAAAGGCGAGTAAATGGGGCGGTCCTTCGGATGAGACCGTATAAACCGAGGCCCCGTGTCACAGCAGATGTGGCACGATAAAGATCCCTCCCTGCTCAAAGGCCGTAAGTGCCGAGCATAGGCCTAAATTTGCAGCCCTTCACCGGCAATGGTGACGTCTCCATATCAGTAAAATATTGTGGAGAGGGACGTTAAACAGTATACAATCAATCAATATGTCGTGAAAATATACTTTTTTTTACAAGGTGTGTTTTGCCTACCAAAGACATTTGTTTAAAAATTACTAAAAGGGGCGCGTTTGACCTTTATTCAATGATATGGCACATTTAAGACTTAAGACATATGTACTATGACAATATGTGAAATTATATATTTTGTTATGCAAGAAAATTCACGCAATACTCTTTGTGGAAGGTTTTATTACTTTTGTTTATCATTTCTCCGTCCATTTAATAGAAAACGGAGATAAAGACCACTTAATTTTTTTCTCCTTTGAGGAAAAGAACTACGTACCTTGTGTAACAACACCATTTAAACCACTGATAAGCAAAAAAGCAAACAACACCTTCATAATGTAATATTTTTCTTGGTAAACACTTTTAAACTGAAATAAATCCTCAGAAATTAATATAAAATAATCCTAGTTAATTATTCCTCTGTTTGCAAAAAAAAAAATTCTCTGTAAATCCGTTGTAGTTCTAGTTGTCTTTTATCACTTGCAGTTCTACATCAAGGGACTGTCACCGTAAGAATCGATATCTTTTAGCGGGATAAGATTAATTCACCGAATTCGGCTAATTTTATCAAAACTGTTTTCTCTTGAGCTGAGTCTGAATACAAACGGGCATGATTGTTTAAGTTTCCTTGTTGTAAAACTCCCGTTAAATCGATCACAGCGGTAAAACCTCACATACCTGCATTTTTATCACCTGTTAAGGTGAACTCACCAATAAAATCTATCGTCAATTCTCAAACTGGCGAGGAAAGCATGAACACTTACTTTAATAGGAACATTTATAATTTCTTCTTTTATCATATTTCAATATTTACATTCAATACGATTAAAGATGTCAAGCAATATTTTAGTGAAGTGAAGAGTTTGGTGAACAGATTATCAAAAGGGTTTATTACATTGAAGTATTTGGCTTGACTTGACTTTTGACTCCTAACTAAATATTTTTATGTTCATAAACTGCAAGGGGTGTAAAGGGTCATCGCTATAATTCTCTGAAATGACAGATTTATTAAAAGAAATTGATATAGGTTATTTAGAAAGAATATACTGTTATTCCGTGTTCCCCTTTGTCGTTGAACCACCTGTGCTCTCTTATCTCTCTAGACATGATAAATAGTGATCATACATAGAATTGCCATTTAATACTTTTTAACAGAATATTAGGAAGGGTCTGTCAATTGAGTTGACGGTATTTATAATATAATATAGGTAAAACATAGTTAAGTTATTTACGGAACTATGAAAACGTATATTTTCATGGCGTAAAAATTTCGCAGCACAAGAGTCGTTCTTTGGAATTTTATTTTATGGTTGAAGTTGAATTGAAGTTGAATTTTGCTACATTTCGTGTTTGGGCATATGTTTTGATCTATTGGCGTTCATTCCCTGAGAAGAAGGAGAATGAAAATTTCTCTAAAATTACTTGTACCTTTTACACAAAATAAAATTTAAAAATGCGCTAATGACTTTTAAGTGATTTGAAGAAAATAATTTAATGTTTTCATCAGACTGTCTAATGATTATTTTGTTTTTTGCGTGATATAAATATTCCATTTAACAACAACAAAATTACTTGGCGCGATTCTAGAATTTGAACAATCATTGAATGTTCAGATGTTATCATCAAATTCTTGATAGTACACACTATTTGAAAACGTTAGGAATCCCTTATCGACCTCTCTTATCTGTTTTTATTGATTTAATAATCTGTAGTTTTCCTTAACAAGTGCACAGATGCACATTTTGTCTGGATACAAAACTATTTGCAAAATCATAAAATGTTTCTATGAATCTGCAATAATAATAAAAAAATAAAGCTGTGAAGTGTTTGATTTTCCTTTATAAAAGACGAATGAGAATTTTAAGATTTGAGGTAAGGTTTAACGAATAGATTTAAAGCAATAAATGATTAGAATGAATTACTCATGCATTTTATAATTGAATTTTATTGATCAAGAATTGTCACATAAAGCTTATATCAACATGGACAAAACAGATATCAATTTTACAGGATCTTTAAATACTTAAATGCATTATTAAAGACTCACATACCGGTATACAATATTCTGATATTGAACATATTTCAAATTGCTTAATTTTATAAGGCTGACGCATTTTGTGAATTTGAGATTTGTACAACATGAAACCCTTTAGATATTAAGAAAATATTAAAAATCTCGAAATGAAATAAATAACTAGCTATCTAAAAATATAAATCTTAAGTACTAATTTAATGTTTAACTCAGTTTTATTTTAAGATTGAGAAACATCAGATCATAAAGATGTCAATTACATGTTCTATAAGGTGAAGAGGTCGCTTGATTCTTTATCATACCACTAACCTATACGAAGATTAATATGTTGACCGTACGACCGTAAACATAGAATAATTTCCAATTATAGAAATATTTATATACTAAATCTAAAAAAAAATATACACGTAGAGACTCCTGCAAACATGAAAAGATTGTGCCTTTAAAAAGAAAATTAAATTTGATAAGATAATTAGTTGAAAAAATACTTCCAACAACTCTTTATTGAGAAACACTAGGGCTAGAAAATGCATAACTCTAAAGTAAAAGTGCTAAATGACGTTTTTCAAACTTTTTGTAAGCTCTAAATTGTATTGTAGATATTGAAAAGCCTGGGTACTAGTTCTGTTATCTATATCCATTTTCCACAGAATAGTCACCTAAATGTATATCAGATTGTTAGTTTTGCACATTTTACATGTATAAAAATGACTATTTATAGTGATATTAGATATGCATATTCAATATGGTTATATTCAATACCGTTATCACACCAAAAATTGATTTTCTTTAAAGTAAATATGTAATTAATTTCATGTTTTGTATTGCATATTTTCTTAATATAGAAATATTGAAATTTTGACATAAAAAGAAGTGATGATATTTGTCCTTTTGAAATGGATTTGAATGTTAACCTCAAAAATAATAATGTTAGTTTGCAGAGATAAAGATAATTTTCAGTATCAGAAACACATGTAAATGTGCATAAAAACTTAGATATGCACATATTTATTTTGCTGTCTTTTATCTTTTCTTCATAGCGATATTTAAAGTGACTACTCTAAAAGTAAACCATAAGTTTCAAAATCAAATATACATACGTCTTCTTTATTTTGAACTTCCTTACTACAAGGAAGAGATAAGAGAATGGTCGGGCGTGGTTTGTAGATTGTAAATTGCCTTAAGACCATATTATTCATCACCTGCATACAAATGTTTGTTAAATGCATCTTTGTGAAATTGTCACACTAAAGTTTGCTCATAAAAGTATTTTTTATCTAATTTCTACAGTTTAAATTGCATATGTTTAAGCAAAACTATAAATGCTTCTCTACAATGTAAATGTTAAAGCAACTTTTCCGTTATTTCCCGATTATGACAAGGAGCACACGGCGGATGTGACTGGTCGGCGGGGGATGCTCACTCTTCCATGGAACCTGATCCCACTTCTGATGTTTTGGAGGTCCGTGTTTGCTCCACTCCTATTATGTATTGGTTTATGGTTTCTTGATCTCGAATACTGTTCGTTATCTCTTCATATTTCATGTTCCAATATTACTTTCTGCGGAGCATGAGGTCATCAAGTCGAAACTATATACAGTTGTATATATACCCGGTATATCAGAACTATTTATTGGATATCGACCGCATTATCAAGTAATCCTATTGACAACTGATAATTTATCACATTAAACACCATTAGACAAGATAAGACCCATGTCTGACCTAAGGGTTAATCTCCTGACAGAGTAAAATGGTTTGTGCTACATCATATATCACTGGTCTCAGAAATGGTAAAAAAGCATGGGAATCGAAGCAAGACATAAAATAGTTTGGGTAAATCTATTAGCTTAAAAAGATTATTTCCATTCTCATTTCATGCATGCAGTTTTCATACATGTGACATGTTGTAAAGGAAAAACAATTTTGGAACTTTATAGTTTTAACATAAAGATAAGGATTCCCAAAACCAAATTTAAAAACGTTCCAGAACCGAGGCCCTAAAAACAGTTCGAAAACGGCCAATACATATCTACCTTTTTTTAAGGCCGAACAAAATTATGTTTACAGTTAAATGCTACAAACTTAAATCAGCCAATTCAGCCAATTAGTTCTATGAACGGGGCATGTTTTTACTTCATGATGTCCCTCCCCCGAAATCTTTACGGTTATAAAACTAAAATGAAATTTAAGGCACATATTAAAGAAATGAATAAACTGTTTCAAAGTAAAAAAAATACAAAATACTTAAATTAATAAAAAATATGATTTAAAAGTAACAATTTATTTGTATCTAAAAGCAAAATAAAAATGCAAAAAGTAAGTCTAAAACCCATTTTCATTAGGTTTAGGGTAAAAAAAATCTACATTCGCCATATTTTTGGTAACATATAACTTAAGTTGAAATCCTTAAACAGGTGAATAGAGACTCAAATAATAAAGCATCTTTGACAATGGTTTTAGAAGGGTTAACGAATACTAGTATGTAAAACGTGAATTAACAGAATTATCTTTTTGAAAATTCTGACTTGTCCGTACATAAGAAAAAGAGTTTGCAGAATAAACATTAAATTTTGCAGGTAAAAGGTAGTCTTACTACAACTGTTCTATATACTGTTTTTATCAATCTACGGTATTGGCAATTTGCCCGACAATGGGCATGCTTTCTGGTGTAATTTTGCAGGTAATATGTGTACAGATTGCTTCTCTACTAGGACGCCGCTAGGACAGTCACTAATGTAATCAAGATGATAAAGTTCTTTACGTTTGTAAGGTATAAAACAGATTTAAAGTGTCATTTCCTGACAAAAATGACAACATAGGTGTTCTAAAATTCGAAAAATTGGGATAAATTACGTAAGAAATATATTTTTGCACCACGTAATCTCTATTGGCGTTCAAGAGGAAAAGAAGAAAACATACCGATAATGATTTACATGTTTCTTTTTTTAATTGCAAAATGTTGCCTTCTATAATTCATTAGTTGAATATGGATTTATTGATCTCTTGAATGTAAAATAAAAAGAAAAAATGAGCTCGAGACCTTTATAAAAATTGGTATTTCGCCAATTCATTTGTAATGTTAACGCTTAATTATATTTGTGAAATTACTAGCAACCTACCTGGTCATTTCTGCTGATATTACTATTCATAAACAGTAAAATATATCATTAAAGGAGTCAAAAATCCCCGGAGCGAATATTTAGAATTTTTAACAAATACTGTGGGTTAATATAATTTCGTGACACCTCAATGTCGCTTTTAAGCTTTTTTTTTTTTTTTTTTTTTTGCTAGTGAGAGATTTTTTTCGCAAAAATTGGTTTCTATTGTATATAATCCTTCATCATACAATTGTACGCGAGAATAATTTTTTTGAGAGCAGATAGATTCGCGTTATTACGCAAAAATTAAGTTCTCGTGAATAAAACATGATTTACAGAAAAAAAACATTCATTGTGCTACATCTGATTCTAGAGTTTGCAGAAACAATCCACCATCTAATTATAATCGCATTTTGAATTATCTACAAACATTCAGGAATCTTTAATAGATATATCCTATTTCTTTTGATTAAGGTCTTCCGTTTCCAACGGAAGACCTTATTGTTTTCGTTCGGTTTCTTTTTCCCTATTATTATTAAGGTCTTCCGACTTCCTT